TTAAAATTTGATTGGTCAATCATGTGAGAGGCGATAAATTAGTGACATCGCGGGGTGCGGTGAATAAATATACCCTTAATATGATTATATTTAGTTAACTTTTATAAAAATATTATAAACATTATTAAATTATTACTATTTTTAATATTTGATCTTCAAAATTTTGCTTATTAGTTAAATAATATGGTTTTTTAACAAAATTTTTATGTAGACTTTCATAAGTTTTAATAGAAAATATATTTAAATAACCATATTTTTTAATTAAAATCAGCTATATAATAAACCCATTAATGTAATTTTGGAAGCTTTAATTCAAAAGTTGAATATGTATTAAAAAGAGCAATAAATTTTTTAGCTCAATTTTTTTTTTTTTTTTTTTAACTCTTTGACAGTCTTGCCAGTGCTCAATTTATTTAAGACTATATTTTGGTAAGAGTTAAACTCTCTTAAACAATATATATTATTCATAACCTAAACAGGGAGTCTCGCGATTGCGAGCCTGACATCACCTGGCTGCAATTAATATGCCCATATGTGACTTGTTGCACCAACCTGTATACAAGTTAGATAAACTTTGTTAGCCCATCAAAGCTTTTCTCTTCATATTCTTTTTCTTTACCAATGATTTTATATTTAATACAAAACCACCAATACTACCAAGAAAACAAAATGAAAAACTAACTTAAAAAAACATAGAATAAAGGGGGGAAATTTCAACGAAAATAAAAAGAGTACAATGAAATATAAAAAAAGAAAAACAAAGAGAAAAGCCTGAGGGCCAACAAAGGGGGAACTACTTTTATCAAGAAATAGTATAAATAAAATAAACTATTATAACCTGTGCCAGGTTTAAGAAAAATTTTATAACAACTGCAACATTTGTATATCTCATGTAAGGGTTTAGATGTAGATTACATCAATCAGGGAGTACTAATCATGTAGCACATAACTTAGAGCCTGAACAAGTCAAGATCGGGGAACATGAACTTTATGACTTTTGTAACAAAGGTTGTCACATGGCAGGTTGGATGAGTTGGAGCCGTATCCCGATCAGGTAAGGTAACTAAGCATTGTAGTATGCATTAATAGTATGTAATTTAAAAGCTTATAATAGTAATTAAAAGCAAACACATAATAAATGTAGTCATAGGCATAATTCGCATTAGTAATAGTTAATAATAATAGAAAGAAAAACCCGATTATATAAAGGAGAAAAATGTCTGTAAAGAAGAGATCACTTCTTAACCAATAAACAATAAAGAGTTAAAAGAAATACCTTCCTTATACATTATCTTATTAGTTAACCTACATCTATGATAAATAGGTTCAGTTACACTTGGTTGATAAACCCTATTAATACTGGTTGTACAAGAAAAGAGAAACATTAATTGTTCTTATCTAATTTAAGAACATTATTGATTATTCAAAGGCTTGAAAGCCTTAAACGTTAGTCAGTTTACGAAAAACATTAAAAAAAAACAGAACTTGAAAACTTATACTTAGTAATAATGCCAGGTAACAACAATCTTGGGATGAATGAAACACACTTTTCTAACAGTTTTTGGAAAGTCAGCACAATACTTTGCAATCACTGCGAAAAAAACGTCCTTATATGGCTACTTCAAGTCGATCTACTTTTCAAAGCAAGAAAAGTTGAAGATCCAGAGCGGTTGCAATACATAATTACAGGCCTCAAGGATGTGGATTTACAATAGTACCTAAATCAGGTACAAGCCCATGAACAACAACAACCATTTGAGGATTGGAATTCATTTGCAGAGGGTGTAAAAACTGCATTCCAACTGCCCATCACCAACAACTTCTATGTTGCCAATTAAGAGACTTGAAGCAAACTACAACTGTTCAGAAATACGCCGCAAGGTTCGGAATGCATGAAGCCAATAGGGTCATATATTTCACGGAAGGGTTAAAAGGGGCAACCAAAGCAAAAACCCTAGACGACACGATAAAGTTAGCTGCAAGTTACAATTCTGCGATGTATGGTGTGGTAAAAAGTGTTAATAAGAAGCAATCAGGCAATAACAACTGGGATTATAATAAATCTGATGGTAGTTACCCACTACAAAGTACAATACAAACACCAGTTCCAATGAAGTTAGACAGAGTTGAAGTAGGATGTTCTAAGAACACTAAGCCTACATATAGAAAAGAAGAAAACAGGACATTGTCAAAAGAACAAAAAAATGAATATAGAAAACAGGGTCTATGTTTCAATTGTGGAAAAAAGGCTAAATAAAGAGTGTAAAAGAAAAAGGCGTAGGAATAATGAAATTAACCAAGCTGAAAGAAAAGATAGAAGTAAATAGAGGGTATAATAAATCAAATAAGAAAAGCCTTTTAAAGGTAGAAGGGAAAGAATGCTCTTATCTTAATCAATTTCAGCGTGTTTAAGGATTTCATAAACTTTCACTTTGTGAAAGATTCACAACTAGAAATGGGTAAGGAAGGATCTAGTTCTACAACAGTTGAATTGGCTAATGAATCATGCTGTGAGTCACAAGAGAACGTTGTAGATGTTGAAATCAAAATTCAAGAATTTAAAGAAATAAGAGAAATTATGAAAGTAATACTCTTGCAAAAATATGACATTATCTTAAGAAAATCATGGCTTTATGATCGTAACCCCATTGATTGGAGACGAAATAAAATGAAAATAAATAAGGGACAACATACTTTTGTAATTAAAGCTAGTGAAACAGAAGACACAAAAGAATGCCAATCAATTTTAAAGAAGCAAAAGGTACTGCAGAGTTGTATGTAGTTCTTGTTTCTAATATTATAACAAAAATTTTGTAAATGAAAAACTCTTCTAGTTCTCCTCCGGAAATTTGGTAACAACAAAATTACTATACAAAACTCACCACTTTTATACAAAAACAACAAGGTACTTTAGGGGCTGAGGCCCTTACATACAAGAAACGTAAGCAAGATAGTATGAAAACATCTAGCATAGATAACCCAGAGTTCGACAGAAAAAATAAAAAGGCAAGAACTTCAGCTACTGAAGAAGAAAAAAAATTTAGCTGAAATTTGGAGAACAAGCTATAAAGATGCAGAAAATAAGGAGTTGCTCCAAGCAGTAGACCAGAACTCAGACAATACAGTTAATGTTGCAAGCAGTAGTAGTATGCAGAAAAATACAGCAGAAAACAAAAAAAAAAAAACCAAAGTGGCAGAAAAACAAATAATGTATTTCAAGACTCGGCAAAACCAACAACACACGTGCCCAATAAAGTTAACAACAACAAACACATGGACCAACATGTAAGCAACAAATTAAATGAAGCCAATAAACAGACAGAACCCAAACAATGGTCAAGTCTGTTTTCTAAGCTCAAACAAGGCAAAGCAACTTTCTCAAAGAAGAGAATTCATACTAAAAACGAGAATGCACTAATCTTTGAGCTACACAACTTAGAAAATATTTCCACTTCGGATATTGTGAAAGCAATGGCAACTGTAGTTGAGGAAGACCTTATTGCAGCCAAATCAATCTTTACAAAAAACAGAAGATTCCATTTGGAGGTCATCTTTACAGATGAAAAGAAGCAGCAGTTTTATGCAGCAGAAGGCCTTGTGATCTTTAAACAAACTTTCTAGGGGTATATTCCAGTAAATATTATATGAAGTTTTTATCAGTGCGGCTTCGAAACATGTATATAGGCAAAAAGGATTTTATTTCAGATTGGTGTATAAAGAGACATCAGTGCTTACAGACCAATGGGTGGTGATTTTTGAAACAACAGATGATCCAAATCTAACAACGAGAATGCCCAGGTTTACACATATTTGGGACCAAAAAGTTACAACTGATTGGAAAGAAGCCCCAAAGGTGTGCATACATACATGAGCTTACAACAATGTATTTTATATTTATTTCTTATTTATCATTATTATAGTGACAATAATACACAACTAGGCAATTAGTAATTGTACAGTGTGCTAAACACCATAGGTGCTATTTCTCAAAAACTTATTAAGTAATTAGGGTCGGAATTCTAGCTACTTCTATGACAAAACAGGCCATATCAAGAAAGAATGTCAAGAATACCAAACATCTGTTGCAAAGAGCACGAGAATGGAAACAAGCATGAAATCAGAGACATTCTCAAATGGTATTGAGTACTGAAAATCCATATAATGAAGAATTAGAGAATGTCATGTCTATTGATACAAAAGCAAAAGATTCGAACACAAACAGTATGGTGTTAGATAAAGAGGTTGAAGCAGAAACTCAAACAGAGATGTTGGCAGAAACTTCTGACCCACCTAAAGAAAATGAAGTAAAAACACAGGTGGCTACAGTAGCAGAAACCCAAGCCTCATCCAATGCAGAAGCCAAACCAGAAATAGAATCATCCCACATCAAGACTGATAATAAGATTAGTCAGGAGAATATAGTGAAAGATCCATTAGCATCCTTTTATGCCAAAAATGATAGCACAAAAAGTGAAGTCAACAATACCGATACAGAAGGGTTTACATTGGTTACCTCCAAAAGGAAAACCAAAAACCATTCCAGAAAGTCAATTACAGCTACAAACAAACCTAGGTTGGGGCCATACCCTGGCTCTAAGGCAAACAGACCTTAAGTAGGTAGGCTTTTAGCATATACACATCAACTCTAATTTATCTTATAGTTAACAAACTTAAAATCACAACTTTAAATATTAAAGGATTAAAAAATTCAGAAAAAGCACATAGAATACTTACATTATTGAAATCATATCACTTAGATTTAATTATGCTCCAAGAAACTAATTTAGAAACATTACACAGGTCCAAAGCATAAATATCAATAAATATCAGATATCCGATAGCTAATGATAGCTAACTATTTGCGCCAAAAATCCAATTTATATTGGCAATATATCAAAAAATATCAGAAGCATATCGGGCAAAAAATAAATATCAGGTATCTCAATATTTGTTTTTTACCCAATATGCTTCTGTTTTTTGATATATTGCCAATATAGATTGGATTTTTGGCACAAATAGTTAGCTATCATTAGCTATCGGGTATCTAATATTTATGCTTTGGACCTGTGTTAGTACAAGAAACTTTTTACAGCAACAATGGGGATACAGTTCATACTGGTCCTCTAAAACTACAATCTTAGCGGGAATCCGAACATCACTTTATCCAACACAAATGAATCACATAATGGCCATATAACCAAAGCAAGTATTATCTACAGACACCAAAAGTTCCATCTTATAAATGTATATGCATCTCCGAGTGTAGCAGAAAGAGTTAACTTCTTTAATAGTTAGTCTCCAGAGATAGATGAAGGATGCATAACTATCCTTGCGGGAGACTTTAATACAAACCTTAACCAGTTACGTATATTACATGATATTTTCAGATATTAGCCAATCAAATCCAAGAAATCATTCCAAATTATCCCAAATAAGCAGAATATCTTGGAATTATATTAATTAAATAATTAGTTGGTTAGTTGATTAAAAAATTTTCTAACTGGTTAGTTGAAAAGTTGTCAACTATTTGGTTTTCCAACTAATGATTTGGAACACTACCTACAAGAGAATTGCTTTCAAATTTAATATTAGAGCATATTAATACCATAGCAGTTAACTTATCATCAGAATACATAAGGAGGCCACATAATAGCTACAAGATTGGATTATATTTTCATTGATGCAAATCATGGGCACCTCTGCAAGAAGACCACAACCCAGTTCAGTAACTCCCGATCACTTGCTAGTAGAATATGAACTGCATTTGAATACAGAAAAACCTAAGGCAAAACAATGAAGATTTGATAAAAACAGCTGGCAAAATCAACTACTTAGTGAAGAAGTAATTGAAGAGGTACAAATTATTACAAACTTCTCAAGATGGGATCTATATAAATGTAGGATACAATCTATAATCAGAGCCTTTAGACCACAACCTTTACCAAAAAAAAGGATTCAGAAGCTGCAAAAAAGATTAACCAAAATTAACAATAAGGCATCTAGCATAGAAAACTCAGAGCATCTTCTAGCTCTAAGAGAACATATTAATATGCAGCTACAAGAGGAACTTCAAACCCTTTCCGACAAATGGCAGGCTAGATCAAATGTGAATCCGGCTGACAAGTTACAATATATGAAAAACAACTGCACAGCTGCAGCAAATCTCTTCACTCAAGGCTTAGCACAAGTCTCAGAGAGTTAAAATAGAATGCTAGTAGGCTTAATTTCTGAAAAGGAAGTTAATGAGGTTTTAAACCAGCTTCTAAATAACAAGTCTCCATGTTCAGATGGCCTCACGTATGAGTTCTATAAGGGAATCAAAGAGGAAATAGTCCCAATCAGTGTTTAAATTGATGTTTTCAGTGTTCTCAGAGAACATTTAACAATTTTTATGAACATGAATTACTGAAAAATGTTCTTTATTTGAGAACATTTAACAAAATTTTTTAATATTAAAAAATTTTTGATTTTCTAATACTAAGAACATTAAAAAATTTTTAAGAACATTAAAATTTTAAAAAATGTTTTTTTGAGAACATAAAATCAATTTTGAATTTCAAACACTAGTCCCAATACTTACAGGTCTATTCAATTATTAGCTAGAAAATAGTCTAATACCCAGATCATGGACCAAGAGCATCATCACTCTGATTCCGAAAAAATCAGATAATCTAGAAAATATAGACAACTGGCACCCAATTTCACTTACTAACTGTGATGTTAAAATATTTATAAAGATCCTGGCCAATAGAATTAATATCATCTGCAAATCGATTACTGGTCCATCACAACAGGTATATATAAAGGGAAGATCAATCACAGACGCAGCATTAGACATTATTACTATTATGAGAAACCAAAAAGACTAGTCAGCATCACACTGGTTGCTGCTGCTTGATTAGCAAAAAGCCTTTGATTGGATAAGTCATGATTTTATTCTTCTGGTATTAGAAAGAATGAATTTTGACACCAAGTTCATTAATATTGTCAAGAGCTTATTTCACACATATCGCAGATTCCAATCTCATATCAGAACCAATCTGAGTAGAAAGGGGAGTTAGACAGGGGACCCACTCTCACCTCTGTTATATATTCTAGCTCTGAATCCACTTATCCTTAAAATTCAAGAAGAGTTAAATGGAATAAAGGCAACTTCAAAGTCACGGCATACACTGATAGCTTGACAGTAAGAATAGAATCTTCTTCAGATTGGGAGAAACTCATAACAATTCTGCAAAAATATGAACTAGCCTCAAATGCAAAGATTAATCAAAAGAAATCAATTTTGGTACCTCTTACTGACACAGCTAAAACAATGTGCTTACTCAATCAAGATCTTTTTAAAATAGCAGATAACAATACTTCACTCAAAATTCTGGGTTATGAAATAGATCATAAAGGTACTCTCAAAAAACAAATATGGGAAACTTAACCAAAAGCATTAAGCAGAAAATACAGAAGATCTCTGGTAAAAACCTATCCTTCAAAGGAAAAATTTTATTATCTAAAGCTCTTCTCATCTCCAAAATTTGGTACTTGGCATACCTGCTTCCACCCAAAAGAAAGCAACTTGATAAAATCAACACATTGATATACAAATGGGTTAAGAATAAATTAAAATTACTTCCACATTATTCAACTTTCTAGCTAGACTATAATAGAGGAGGACTAAATGCTCCTGTTCTTAAGGATACACTTGATGCCAGACTCTGCTTCATCTGGATAAAGCTACTTACAGCAGATAGCTTCTGGGCCAGGGTTGAACGAACCTTAATCTCACAAAGAATACAGGACAAAAGAAATATATCAATAGTTGAAGCATTAACAAGATCTCCGGTTAAGCTTAAAGGGTGGCCAGAAGACTAGCAACCATACTTAAAAGACTAAGAGGCACAGTGTTATCATCTAGCAGCTGGCCCTGGGAACCTACACAATTAAAAATATATGATCAATCGGGGGATCAATTCACTATTAAAAAAGCAATGGAATTTTTAAGACAACTGTCAATATGGCTCACAGCATCACAGTCCCCAATACATCTACAAGAA